CCAATTGCATGAGTTGTCAGAGACCTTTTACAGAGTGTACTCGAAGACACACAGAAACCATTCATGTTTACATTAGTGAGCTAATAATAAGACCTACCCTAATGTCCTGGGTATTTTTAATTAATTTTTTTATTTAACGTTGATATGAGTTTGAGCTAATTGTCCTTCCAGGGACAAATTGCCTTCCTGATTTTGCATTCTAAAGCCAAATGCAAAGTGGATTTTAAACGACTCTCATTTTATTTGCACAAATGATCAAGAGTTGATTCCGTTCAACCCCTAACTGGTTTGTTGCTCAAGCACAGCTAGTAAACTAATCACACGGTGGCTTCAGTTGGTTTTCTGCAAACTCTCTGTATTATTTAGTGAGGAAACATTTTCTGTGCCAGACATGATGATTCCGGGGCTCTAGCAAAGCCTCTGTGTCTTCTTGGACTGCAGAAGTCTTTAAAATCACTTTAAGCTACTGCAAATGGGAGGGCTGGTCCCACATATGAACCAGCATATGAGACCTGATTTAGCTTTAAGTGTCTCTCCTCTGAGGCCCCAGAGGTCAGAATAGGAATGGGATGGTGGTATGTATGCATAGATGCGTGCATGTGCACGCTTGTGCATGTGTGTGGTATGATTGGCCTTTTCTCTTCTTGTCTCTGCTCCGTTTCTCCTCTGAGTGTGTCTGTGTCCCCGATCTACTGGCTAACACAAGTTTCTGATACCCCTCATGATGCAGGAGGCAGGAAGGGGAAGGGAAAGGTCTTAGAGGTCTTAACTGACAGGCTGTGTAGTAATGGGCCTCCTGCTCGCTGGGTGTGCACATGAGTGCATTGGGGTCCTCTAGAGTTCTTTCCCTATAGAACCCAAAGCATGGACCATGCAAGAGGTTCCCCACCCCCATCAAGCCGGTTGTCTATCGCCTCTCTGGCAGCACACATTGGCCTAGAGTTCGATGTTTCCAGCTATCTGCTAAATGGACCCCTGGGCTCCATAGACAAATGACATCAGCCCCGTTCAACCACAAGGGCCCAAACTGCCATCTGCTCCACTCACACAGGCTGTGTCAGCAAACTCACGGGGCGCCAACAGGTCCCAGCACAGCCACGCTGTCTGAGCTGATTAGCCCTTCTTTACCATCTGCATTTGCCTGGCTCCAAGTAGAACCAGTCCACCCTGCACCCCTCCCCAGACCAGGGAACATAACCAAGACTCTGTCCATGCCCAAGGAACCACTTCTTTGGGTGGTAAAAGATGTAGCACCCCAATGACCACAGTAGCAACCCTCCAAAGAAATCTCACCATGGGCCGGCAAGATTGTTCAGCAAGTGTAGACACTTGCTGCCAAGCCTGATGGCCTGAGTTCAATCATGGGAATCACATGCTGAAAGGAAAAGGAGAGAATAAACCTGCAAAGTTGTCCTCTCTGATCGCACCTGCAGTGGCATGGAATAGAAAAAGAAACAAATGTAAAAGTGTAATGATAACTGGGCTGTCAGGGTGGGATTCAATCCCTCATAACTTTAGGGTCTGAGGAAAGGATGATTTTAACACCTGTTAGAAGAATTTGCTATGAATGAAGCTGTCCTGTGTCTCAGATGTGCCCACAATCATGCTCCATCACTCCTCCGCTCTGTTGGGCAGATAGCTTCCCAGTGTGTGTGTGTGTGTGTGTGTGTGTGTGTGTGTGTGTGTGTGTGTGTGTGTGTGATATGTGAATGTAAGAGTGCATAAGTGTATCAGTATGCATATATTTATGTGCATGTACTACAGACCGCCTGAGTTCAGTCCTTTACTAGCACTTACCTCTAATTCCTATCAACTGTCACACAGGGAGTTGAATTGGAAATGACTTGGGTTCCTTCCTGTTCTCATGGTCCATGAGGACACAGAGTGAGAATGGGAAGGAATGTGGACCTGGAGAGGCATGTGAGAAGCCTGTGTCTGGACAGATCAGAGATCAGGCTCTATCTCTGGGGAATAGAGATGCCTGTCTTCCAGGGAGAGGTGAGATAACGTCAAAGTCACGTGATCCCTTCCACGTCTCCACAGGCTCATCAATGAGAACGAAGTGAAGCAGTGGCGGGACCAAGCAGAGAAGTTCCGGAAGGGTGAGAGGGTCTGCCTCACCCGGCTACACGCACTCCCTGCACCCATGCCCACCCTGCCTGGGACCCCATCTCCTCCCTCAGAGAAGTCATACCTGCTCCCTCTCCTCTCACTTTCCTGGGGGTCCCCTCCCCTCCAGAACACATGGAGCTCGTGAGCAGGCTGGAGAGAAAGGAGCGGGAATGCGAGACAAAGACACTGGAGAAGGAAGAGATGATGAGGACCCTGAACAAGATGAAGGACAAGCTGGCCCGGGAGTCCCAGGAACTGCGCCAAGCTAGGGGACAAGTGGCAGAACTGGTAGCCCAACTCAATGAAATCTCAGTACGCGTGCACGGGCATCCTCCAATTCCCAGTCCTGTAGTTCAGCCAGCTCCCTGAGTTTCAGGTTAGAGTGGGCAGCGCAAGTGTGGGGGGAAGAGAAGAACCCCAACATGAAGGAGAAGAGAAAGGGGGACCTTGAGCCACAACCAAGTGGCTCACTAGTCTGTGTGGGTGAGGCCTTTGTGTTAACAAATTCAGGATGGGATGACACCGTTGCCAGAAGTGGATCTTGGACAGGAGTGCATGCAGAATTCCTGCCCCTTCCTTCTGGCTGGATGTCTCTGTGCAGCAAGTAGCCTGCACCACTGCATGCATGCATCCAGATGTTTCACTTTGGTGGTTGTGACTTTGGTTGCCTAGTGTCTGTGTGTATGTTTAACTTAGTGTGTATGAGTGTGTTCATACATGTGTATATGTGTGTGTGTGCCTGTATCTGTGTGTGTGCCTGTATCTGTGTGTGCATGTGCACGTATGTGTCTGTGCGTATCTGTGTGTGTGTTGACTGTTTGAGATGCAGAAAGAGAAAATGGTGTCTCAATGTACATGAAGGATTGAAGAAGGCTCAGTAGGTAGGAAATGAGGATAACGCGGAGACCCGGTTAGCTTGAGTACTGATGGGCACACCATCTTGTCTTTTTTGTCTTCCCACAGACCGGCCCAGTGTCTTCCCCACCTCCCCCTGGAGGTCCACTCACCTTGTCTTCCTCCACAACAACCAATGACCTGCCTCCACCCCCGCCCCCGCTCCCCTTTGCCTGCTGCCCACCCCCACCCCCACCGCCCCCTCCTCCCGGAGGGCCTCCTATCCCCCCAGGTGCTCCGCCGTGCTTCAGCTCAGGCCTGCCCCTGCCTCAGGACCCCTTCCCCAGCAACAGTGCCCCACTCAGGAAAAAGCGCGTCCCCCAGCCTTCACACCCACTGAAGTCCTTCAACTGGGTCAAGCTGAACGAGGTAAGTCGCCGAGGGGCCGGCGGGCAGCTCCATGTCCTGCACCTTGCGCTTCGCACAAGTCATCCTGATTCTCTGTTTGGTCAGGCGCCAGGGTGGGCATGGTGGGCACTGATGAGGGCCTGGCTGGAGTCAGGTGGCTCGCTGTCCCCTCTGGACACCAACACTGGAGGCAGTGTTCAGGGCAGACCTTGTGCTTCCTGTCAAAGCCACTTGCAAAGAACCTGTGTGTGCTGGGGGTGAATGGGGAAGCAGACATTAGGAGCTAGGGAGATGGCATGGCGGACAAGAGCGCCTTCTCTGTAAGCACGAGGAGCTGAGTTTGAACCCCGTCATCCACATAAAAAGCTAGTTATGGCTGTATGTGCTCTTAACCCCAGCACTGAGGGACAGAGACAAGAGGATTCCAGGAGCTTGCAAGCCAGCTGGCCTAACCAAAGTGGCAAGCTTTCAGTTTAGTGAGAGACCCTGCCTGAGAGAATGAGGCCGAGGTGATGAAGGAAGAAATTGCGTTGCCTCCTGAGAGCGTTGGGTCTGACTGATTAGGAGACATAGCCTGAAGTGCTTACAGAGCACTCGGTTTTACTTACTCAGCCCTAACCAATCCTAGTGTGCCTCTGTGTTGACCATGGAAATCACTTCCCCGGTCTGTTACCATAGCTTGATTGTCCATCATGGTCTCTAAGATCCTTCTACTTCTGGCTGCCCAGTCTGGGTGGAAACATGGAGTGTGAATACTGCCCCCTGCACCTCCTGAGTTACTGAAGAATTAGAGCTGCCTGTAACAGCATTGCACAGCTAGACCATAAGGCTCCAACCTTCTCTAGGTGGCAGCTGTAACTTGTACGTGCTGCTTTGCAGTGAGAAAGCCACAGGCCAGGAGCACGTGTGCAGGCAAAGAACATTCCAGAACCTAAAGCCAGAGGCTATGTGGGAAGCAAAGCATGTTAGTTTGCTGACATGGTCAAAAAATGTTTAAATTCTCACACTTTCAACTTATAAATTGTTTTTTAAAATGTACCAAGTTAGGGGCCAGTGAGATGCTCAGTGTACAAAGGTGCTTGCTGCTAAGCCTGAGAACCCAAGTCGGACCCCCGAAACCATGAGGTGGGAGGAGAGAACTGACTCCTGAAAGTTGACTTCTGACCCCCCTCAATATGTGTGGCGTGGCCTGTGTGACTCACCCCAAAATAAAAAAAAATGTAAAAATAATTTTAGTAGATGTAAAGGACTTAGATAACTCAATTGGAAAAGTACTCAATTCTAAGGACCTGATCTCTAGCACTCACGTGAAAATAAAGAAAAAAGAAAAGGAGAATTAGTTGAACATGGTAGCATGTGCCTGATCCCAGCACTGAAGAGGCAGTGACAGGAACGTTCCTGAGGCTTGACTGCCAGTCAGCCACGTGAGAAACCCTGTAAAGAAGCTGTAAAGATCAGCTCCTGAGGAACAACTCCTGCAGTTGACCTAGTCCACACATGCACTGTACACACATGTGCATGCACACACATGTGTACCCACACATGACATGTATTAAACTATAGCATGTGACAGGGATTAAGGAAATACAGTCAAGGACTGGTAGATAACTTGGCAGGTGAGGTGCTGGCTGTGTAAGCCTGACGGGGTGAGTTCAGTCCCAGAAGAGGGGACCTGACTCTATAAAGTTGTCCTCTGACCTTTGCATGAACACACATCACATACGTCACACACAACAACAACAGTAAACGAAGAAAATACAGGCATGACCGTCAGCAGCTTCTCTGTCGTGATGCTGACCTCCGTGCTTGGGGTTTTGCTCTGGTCCAGGATTTATAAAGGCTGCATGATTCCTTAGGGACCGTGAGTAGGGTCGTGTGCCCGTCCTATGGGTGGAAGTGCACTGAGTGATGTTTGAGAGCCCACTATTCAATCCCAAGCTTTTGATTCTGTGACAGGGCAGACGAGTTAATTATTTGATTTTCAGCTTCCTATCTGTAAATTGGGGGGCGGGGTCATCACAATGCCCTCCAAAGGATGGCTGTGAAGATTGACTGATATACTAGCTAGAGAGCACTCTGGCATGGACAGTCTTAATGATGTGAGATTAGTTACTATTCATGGTGTTTTCCACATGTACTCTAAGTGTGTCACCATGATTCTCATGTCAACAAAGTTGAATTATGCTTCCCTTAGACTCAGTTTCCCATTTGGGCTATGGGGTTGAAATACTATCCTTCCATTTGTCCACAGGTCACATAATAGCAGGGTCAGAAACGTCAGTCAGTGGAGCTGTTCAGCCCCAAAGGCGGTGCTCTGTGAGGGAACTGTCCTGAAGCATGGTCCTGGGGAAAGGCTGCGTGTGACTTCTGTGGCTATCTCCAGGGGTCTGAAGTCCCGGGAATCTAGGCTAGAGATGACAGAGAGTTGGAAAAATTAAATCGGAGAGTTATCATCCAAGGTGGATATACCAGGGAGATTTGCTCTGACCTCCACAAGAATACAAAGGACTGGAATCTTTACTCTTACGAGCCTCCTTTCCCCATCCCTGCCCATGTTCAGGAGACACTGGGTTCCCAGATCCCCCTTTGCTTCAGTTTGCTCCTCTCCCTGCCATCCTGACTCAGTTCCCCATCCCATCCTCTCTCTCTGCCCCCCATGTCTTCCTTTCCAGGAGCCAAGTTTCTCTCTCTAGCTCCTTCCTCTATCCTACATATGCTCTTAAATGTACACACACACACACACACACACACACACACACACACACACACACACAGCGGTTGTTTCCACCGTGAAAAGAATGCGTCTGTGTTGGCTTTGGCCAGTTGCCTGCATCCCTTGCTGCTGTGAGTTTCCCAGTCCAGCATTCCACATGAGGGTCCCTGGCTTTCGGAAGGCCACAGGAATGTCTCCTCCCTCTTGACTCTGGCCTAGCCTCCCCTTTTCAGAGTTTAAGAAAATAGAAGTGAGGAAAAGGTAGACTGTCTCAAATCTGAGGAGGAGCCGTACGTAGCGAGGGGTGTTAGGATGGGGGCCTGACAGGCCTCTGGACAGGTGAGAGTAGGCGACTGGGAGATTGTTGCTCCAAAGACAAATGCCAGAGAGGAGACAAGGATTCTTGGAGGAGGGGTTGTCAGTGAGGAGGGGTGCTCCCCTGTTCCTTGCTTGTCCTCTGGACCATCAACACGGTGTTACAAGGTTGCTGGTGCAGGGTGGGCTTCTAGAGACCCTAGCACAAGCGTCCAAAACCATGGGACACTGCTTCCATCGAGGAAGCTGGAAACTACACATGTATGGGTCAATGGCAATCATAAAGGATGGGGACCTTCCCTGGCTCTGAGCAACAGGAAGTTGAGGCAAGTTTTGCTGATCTGAGCTGAGTCACTGCATGGGGCCAGCGTGCCCCAGCTTTTGGCACGTGTCCACTTTCTGGTAATCTGGGAAAGTAGGAACAAGTTCCTGGGAAAGAAAATGACCATCTCAGATCCAGGGAGCACGCTGTATGCCCAGGCCCAGACGATCCCACATATGTGTGAGCCACAGTGTTCCCAGGGACTCCAGTCAGTGAGCAGGCATGCACAGTGCTCCCGGAGCACTGCTCCCCTTTGGTTGTATCCTTCTGAAGAAGCACAGCCCCCGCTTCCATGTGTGTGCGCCAACACTCCAGTGCGTCCAGTGGTTTCTGAGACACTTCCATCGGCCTCACAGGGAGGCAGGGACACGCAGGAGGTTGCCCTCTAGAACACTGAGGAAGCGGGAGCACGGAGAAGGGCGGGTGTTGTTGGACCCCTTTCTGGAAGGATGAGAGCCTGGCCACTGTAGCCTGTGACTTTGGTCTGCCTGTGGGGACAGATGGGTTAGGGGACTACTGGCATCTCTGTCATGGAGGAGCCGGGTCAACCAGAGGTTCTTCTCCTTACTTACTTCTTAGGAGCGTGTCTCTGGTACCGTGTGGAATGAGATTGATGACATGCAGGTATTTCAGATTCTGGACCTGGAAGATTTTGAAAAAATGTTCTCGGCATATCAGAGGCACCAGGTAAGACCATATCCTCTGCTTTCTTGGATCTTGACTTTCAACCTTCACACACACACACACACACACACACACACACACGCACACGCACACGCACACGCACACGCACACACGCACACACGCACACACGCCTTGTATTTAAACCTCGCCTGTTCTCTCATTTCCCTTTTCCCCTCTATCTTTCCTTCATTTTCCTTCCTCACAGATATGCTGAATGACTTTATTGGTAATAAGTTTCCATGTTCCTGCCAAGGGCAAAGAGATAAATAAGAGCCGCACAGTCCAGTGAGGGCTCAACGCGCCATTTCTAGGGATGGAATGGTGTTTTCCCTCATTGGAAGCAGACTCCCAGACTTGGCCTCTGTTGAGCACTGTTCTGTTTGGTTCGGGAATAAAAGACTATACCTAGAGGCTGCTGTAGTTTTCAGCCCACATTTCCCACCATTTCCCCCACCATACACTCCCTCACACATTTACAAACAGGCACACACATGCACACTCACACACTCACTCACCCACACATACAGGCACACACACATACACAATGCACACACACATGCACACAATGCACATACACATACACACTTTCACATATACACACAGACACACAGACACACACACACACACACACACACACACACACACACACACACACCTACAGAGAAGCTAAAGGTGTAGGGAAGGTGATGGATGCTGCTCCATACCACTTCCAAGGATCAAGCCTGAGCCTGGGGCCTGCTCTGCTGAGTCTGTGTACATGGCCAGTCCTCCAGCCACAGAGAATGTAAGGGGGTTGTGGCTTGTGGTCAGATACAGGTATAAAATGATAAGCACTTGTAGGGACTGCCAGGGTACCGATTGTCAGCCCTCATCTTCCAATACTGAGCGACTCTGAAGATGGGAGGGGGCTCTGGAATCTGAGTGCAACTGTCACACCTGGGAGCCTTCCCCGGGTCCACTTGGTGAGGAATAGTGCAGGGGCTTGCTTTCTATGGCCCTTGCTTTCTCTGTGCATCTGCTAAGGTTTGCACATTTATTCCTTCACCTCTGCTTGGCCAGGACGCTGGCCTTGAGCTATACTCAGGGGCCCTGCGCCCTGGTTGGTGGATAGGTGCTGAGGCCTGTCTCCAACAGTCTGCAGAGGGTCCCCTACTTGGGTTTTGCCGAGTCTAGACCTGGAGATGACTCTTCATGGGGTAGTCAGGGCCAAGGTCTCATGGGACCTAGCCAAAGGAATGGTGTGCAGTTGACACTGGCCCGTCTTGGGGTTCCAGATAAAACAAATGGTTGTTTATTTGATTTAAATGTGGTGTCTGTGACGTCTGATCCTCTACTCTTAATTCCAAGCAGGGTTTTAGCTCACGCTGTGGTTAGGCTGGCATGCTCAGGGCAGTATGGGAAGAGTCGTGTGAACACCTGTGCCCTGAGTAGGATGGGGGTAGGGGGGATGAATGTAGCAGAGATGGCAAGCCCATGCCTCCTCTTCGTTTGTGATGGGGTTCTGGACTGGCCCCTTCAAACTCCAAGCCCTAAGCTGGGATAGGAGTCAGGTAGGAAAGAGTTCCTGTGCTCTTCAGGCCTCCCAGGCTGCTGGGAAGAGTTAGGTCTGAAAGCCACCTGACCTGCCCACTTCAGGCTGCTGGGCCCACTCCCTCACAGCTCAGCTGGGCTCCCTCACATCAGTATCCAGAACCCAAGTCACAGGAGTCAAGCTAGAGCAGTTCCAGAGGCCAAACTGACCTGGTTGCTACCTCTCCATACCTCAGGGCCTTGAGCCACGGGCAGAGGAGGTCCTGAGACCTCTCTATGTCCTAGGTGGGTTCTGAGCTTGTGGCTCCACCTCAGTCAGTGTCAGGAAGAAAGACACGGGACAAGCTGTGCTTCTCGGTCTCCTTAGACATCAGATAAACACAGGGAAGGGCCAAATTCAAGGTTGCCTGCTTTTCCTGCCCCCGAGATCAGGATTTTCACAAGCTTCTGGTTCAAGTTTGTGTTCTGATACAGGAGTTCACCAGGGTGGAGGAACACCCTCTGTCCCCTCAGCAGGTTCCCAGCAGAGGCAGGGAAAACTAGTTCTCAAAGCTTGGGATCCTAGTTCTCACGTTTGGGGGCTACATGGCTCCACTGGGCACCTCCCTGGCCCCACAGTGGCAGGCTGCCTGGCGTTTGCTTGCCCAGCTTCTCTGAGTGCATGCCTGCCTTGGGCAGCTGTCCATGACTATCTCTGGGTTCCTGTCTCCTGTTCCTGGGGACACAGTAGACAGGGTAGATACCAAGGATGCCCACGTGTGTCTCGACGTTCCTGAGTCCCCAGCCTACTGACTAACATTGTGCATGTTTAGCTCTCTCATGGCTGTGGCTGCTGCCTGCTTAGGAGCCGCTAACTAACATGATTCTCAGCAGGTGAGTCACTCTTGTTCCGTCTCTTACCCACTGTGCTGGGCTGCAGCCCGGAACTGGGTCCATGAGAGAAGGCTTGCCTGCATGGCCCTCCAGCCTTTATTACTCATCCATGTAGGGTGGCGTGCAGGAGGGTCCCCAGAGAGAGAGAGGAAACATGAGAGATGGAGGGCCTCCAAGGAGACCTCTGCCAGCCGCGGAGGCGAATGTCCACAGAATGGAGAATGCTTCTAGGTCCCTTGTGTCACCTGCCAGTCCCAAGGCAAGGCTTTCCAGCGTGACTACACATGTTGGGCACCGCACAACTCCAGAGGGAAAATCCACAGACAATGGCGTGCCTGGCAGGCCCTGGAGTTGTGTGCCTTGGAACATGTGCTCTGGGAAAGTCCCTAGAGTCATAGCTGTGTGCTAAACAGGCTCCCGAGTCCCTGGTCGGGGAGGCCCAGCAGGAGGAGGTTCATGAGCTTTGATTTTGCCTACTGGCATCCCAGAAGTGAATTCAGTATGGATTCTGTCTTTGTTTTCCCACATGACCTTGTAAAACCCTTTGGTCCTGGCATATTGAGATAGACTGGAAGTTTCCAGGAGTTTGAAACTATGGTGTTACGGGGGTATGGATCAGCTTCTCATCATAAGCTCAGGGAGGCTCTGGGTGGGTGTATGATAGGCAACACCATATTGCCTGAAGCCACAGAGATCAATTCCGGCTTCCATTTCCACAGCTCCTTTCCTGGGTTTCCAAGAGAGGCCGAATTTGAAGAGGGGGTAGCCTTTGCTACCCTCTACCCTTCCTAGCCCAGGCTAATCATAGATCCTCTCCTAAGAATTGGTGGTTAACGCCTTACCTCTCCCGTCTTCTCTTTCTCTTTCTCTATGTCCGCTGGGTCAGGGGTGTCCCCACACTGAAGGAAGGGCGGGTCTGGGAGGTGGGCAAGATGACCGGAGCACCGACCTCAGTCGTCCCATTTAACTCATTTGCAGAAAGAACTGGGGTCCACGGAAGACATCTACCTGGCTTCCCGAAAGGTCAAAGAACTGTCAGTCATCGATGGCCGGAGGGCCCAGAACTGCATCATTCTTCTCTCCAAGTAGGTACTCACCTGTAGCAGGGAAAGGCACCCCCCAGGAGAAGCCCAAAATGGGAGGTAAAGGGACTGAGATTTGGATATAACTCTACAGGAGAGTGCTTGCCTGGCTGCCCAGCGTGCACCAGGCCCTGGCTTCATCCAGAGCACAGCAAAACAATACACATGACAGCTGAGCTGCAGGCCCGGGGAAAGGTGGCCGAGGATCAGTGGCGATGTTGGCCTTGCCTCTCTGACTTCTCCAGAGGAGAGGGGGATGGATGCTGGTCTAGACCTCTGTCCTGCAAGTCTATGTGGAGGCACAGCATGGGCTCTTCAGACAGGAAACTGCCCTGTCAGTGAGGCTCTTGACGAGTGGGCATCTGCCAGTGGTGCTACTGTAGATGCACGGAGGGCCCACGCGGAGAGGCCTGGCAGCGGCATGACCTCAGCCTGCAAGCATTTCCCTGGGCTTTGGAACAAACAAGCAAGATCTGTATTAACAGCACAGCTTCTGTGTAGGGGCCTCCCCCAGGCAGGGTCAGGGGCACCGCCCCAAGCTCTATTCTTAGTACCGCCTACAGCGTCCTCTGGGACATCTGCCCCCTCTGCCCTCCCACAAGTTCCCTGGCCTGAGTTTCTGCCATTGAGTGCTGGAGGAGTGCCCCTTCCCTAGGGTTCCCGGTGGGTGTGTACGTGGAGGGGTGGAGGGGTGGAGAGGGACTGTGTAGGTGGTGGGCAGGGAAGATGGTGGAAGCTGGGTGGGGACGGGGCACTGTCAGAGACGCAAGAGCGAGAAGTTCCCCCAGAGTTCTGCTGACACCCTGCTCTGTCCTCCCATAGAGATGCTGAGGATATTTGAGGCAGGAGGGAGGGTGGAGGAGGAAAAAGGCCTGCCAGAATGCCTCTGCCCATCCATCTCAGTCCCTCGTGTCTCATCAAGCAAGGCATCAGGGACTCGGGCTTCGATGAGAACTAAAACACTCATTAGTGACATGTGGAGTGCGTCGGACGTCCTCTTCATTAAAATTAGACTCTATTGTGAAATTGGCCTGGGAAGCCTGTGTGGAGGAGGGAGGAGAGAGGGTGCGAACTGGGGCTGGCGAGGAGAAGGTGAGGGCCAGGCCAGGCTGCTCAGGGCGGGTTTGTTGCAGGTTGAAGCTTTCTAATGAGGAGATACGCCAGGCCATCTTGAGGATGGATGAACAGGAAGACCTCGCTAAGGACATGCTGGAGCAGGTGAGGACCCTCAGGAAAGGAGAGGAGCCCAGCCAGGGGCAGCCTCCGCCCAGAAAGGCTGAAATCCGTGGGTCCAAGAGACATGGAGCTGGAGGCACTCGTGTTTCCAGAAACTTCCCAGGACTAGGCTTTCTTCTAGGACAAGCTGCCAGGGAACTGCACGGTCCCTGCAAAGTCCCAGGGAAGGGTCAGGTGGCAATGGTCATTCCCTCCTCAGATCTTTCACTTTAATACATTTTGTCCTTTAAGAAGACCTGGGACATGGCAGACAGCCATGCTGCCAATTGGGCTTTATTAAAATGAAGAGCACAGTTGTCAAGCATGCTTGACGTCCTGGGTTCCATCCCCAGACTGGGTGTGGTGGTGCATATCTGTAATCCCAGACCTGGGGTTTGAGGCCAGCCTGGGCTTCATGATACTCTATCTCAAAAGAGGAGCTGGGCTGCTGGAGAGACGGCTCAGCAGTTAAGAGCACTTTTTGCCCTTGCAGAGGACCCGGGTCCATTTCCTAGCACCCATATGCTGGCTCATAACTCTAGTTTCAGTGGCTCTGACTCCCTCTTTCTACCTCCATGGGCACCAGGCACACACATGGTACATAGACATACACGCAGACAAAAGACCCACATACATAAATTAAAATAAATTTTAAAATTTGAAGAGAGAAGAAAAAGAGCCAGTGTCAATCCACAGGATGTGCTTTGCCTCAGGTGATAACAAGCCCACAGTGCTGACAGTGTTTTTCAAGCAGACATATAACAAACGGCTTGGATTTGGAGTAAGGAACGCTACAGATAGATGAGAAAGTGGCAAAAGCCCCGTTTTGAAACTGAGCTGAAGCCAGTGTTTTATAGAAGATGGTACCTGGCAGCCTGTGATCACATAAAAGGCCCCAATGTCAGCAGTCACCAGAGAAGACAGCCAACCCTAGAAAAGGAGTGTCACAGGCCCACACGTTAGCTAAGATTAAAGACTGACGGTCACATGTTGACAAGGGTGTGGCAGAACTGGAATTCCCACTCAGCTCACTTTGCAGAGCTATTTGGCATGCGTATTAAGGCTAAACATATGTCTGCCCAGGAATCTCATGCTTAGGCACACACTAAAGAGAGGACAATATCAATATTAAAAGACATATATAGACATAATTATAATAACTTGACTTATTAAACCTCCCAGAGGGTGAGAAACCTAACTGATCATTAATTGGAAATTGGATAAACAGACTGTGGTACATCCCTTCAGTGGAACACTACTGAGCAGTAGATAAAGATAAACTAGTGATATACAGCATGGGAGAATCTTAGATGTTATGTTGAGTGAGAGGAGGCAGATGCAAATTAAACATAGTGAGTTGTCTCATTTTCGGCGGCTATGGTAAAATGCCTGAGACTAGTTAATCTATGGGTAAGAGTTTACTGGGCTCATGGTTCTGGAGGCTGGGAAATTCAAGAGCATGGTGCTGTATCTGCTTGGCACCTGGTGAGGTCTTGTGCTGGACATCATGGGAGGAGACAGATGCCATAACTTGGATTTCTCTTTCTCTTATCAGCCCACTAATGCCACGACTAGGGCCCTGCCCTTGTGACCTCATTTAACCCCAATTACCCCCACCCAAAGACTCGACTGCCAGATGTCGTTAACATTAACTGGGAAGTTTCCACATGTGAAGTTCAGAGGGACACTTTCAAACCATAGCACAAAGACTGGAGAGGTAACTCAGAGGTTAAGAGCACTGACTTCTCTTACAGATGTCTGGGGCTTAGTTCCCATCACCCACATGGAGGCTCACAACCCTCTGTGACTCTAGTTCCACGAGATCTGATGCCCTCTTCTGGTCTCTGCAGGCACTGCACCCACATGATGCACATACTCTCGGAAAATACCTGAGCTCACTATATAGTCAGGCTGACCTCAAAATGGATGTGTAGAGCAGATTGGCCTCAACTCTCTAGGTAGCTCAAGCTTGCCTTGAAATTGGTATGTAGCCCAGGCTGTCCTTGAATTCTTCATTCTCCTGCCTCAGCAGGCCCTTCCAGTATTGAGCAGAGCAATGCGTGAGCCTCTCCACACTTCACACTGTATGCACTGCTCAACAGCTTCCCATCTGACTTGCATCTGCCCTTGACAGCTCCTCAAGTTCATCCCTGAGAAGAGCGACATTGACCTCCTGGAGGAGCACAAGCATGAGATTGAGCGGATGGCACGTGCAGACCGCTTCCTCTATGAAATGAGCAGGTCTGATGGGCACCGGGTGTAGCAGGAGGGAGGAGATTCAGGGCCTGGCTCTGCCAATGGGGCACCAGGTGTAGCAGGAGGAGCAGGGGTCAGGGGTCAGCTCTGCCAATGGGGCACCGGGTGTAGCAGGAGGAGCAGGGGTCAGGGGTCAGCTCTGCTAAGGAAGGGGAGAGGATGGTCCAAGTGGGAGCTAGAGCTGCCTCGGAGCCCCGGGTCCACCTGTGACATAACCTGCCCGTCCACAGGATTGACCACTACCAGCAGCGACTACAGGCCCTCTTCTTCAAGAAGAAGTTCCAGGAACGGCTGGCAGAGGCCAAGCCCAAAGTAGAAGGTAGGCTGGGGCTTGTGGTGCACACCTGGGGTGGGGACATGTCTCCAGGTTGATTGGTGGTGCAGAAGGACATTTCTGCCTTACCCTGACCCCAGAGACCTACCCAAGTTAAGAATAACATTCAAAACTATGACCTTACATTCTTCAGCAGGGTTTCATGTGTCCTAAGATAGCCTCCAGTTTACTATGTAGCTGAGGCTACCCTCGAACTCCTAATCTTCCTGCCTCCACCTTTCAGGTGATGAGATTACAGGAATGACCATCAACTTGAAGTATGATTATTATGGAGAAATGCTCTTGTTTATGTTGGCGTATGTGCTGACCACATGATGCTTTCCTGTGCCTAGCATTGGCTCCCCAGGGTAGGGCATCAGTTGACTTCTGCCCCAGCCTGGGAAGGAAGGACCTGGGAATAGGAATGTAGCCAGCACCCTTCTTGGAGCCCGGCATGCAGTCATTCACCATTTCCTATTTGAGAAACACCACGTTCACAAGGTCTACTGAGCATGTCTGCTTACGTGCAAGCTCACCAGGAAGCAGGCCACCGCATAGACCTAGAGGTATCCGGCTTGATAGAGAGTCTGGGTGATACAGGCCTTCTCCAGATCGCCATTTCTGAGAGCTGTGAGGAGTGTTGTGGCCATGTAGATGCCTGCTGCCCTTCCAACTGGTCCCTTCCCTCTTGTCCCTCATCACTCACTGTGTCCGAGAACATATCCCAGGGGTTGCCTATGGGGGTGGCAGAGGAGCAGGACTCAAGGGGTCGTGGGGAAGAGTGGAGGGCAGGATGGGGGGGCAGATATGTGCACCCAGCAAGGCAGAAGCAGGAGAAACTGGTTGGGGTCTCACCTGGGGGTAAGAAGACTTACAGGGCAGAAAGAACAAGAAACCATCTTGGATACTCAGGGTGCCAAGCTGGAGCCATAGCAGAGCATGGGCGCCCCCTGCTGGACACTCTCTGAGATGCCTAATTCAGAGAGCAGGTTGGGAGCAGGTTGGGAGCAGGTTGGGAGCAGGTTGGGAGCATGTTGGGAGCAGGTTGGGTTTTTCCCAAAGGGTGCTTAGGGATTTCTGGAGTAGGAGTTTGTAGAGATAAAGGCAGCAGTGTTCAGTGTGTACACACATGTACAGGCAACAAGGGACCTTCAGCTTGTATGAAGAATAGATCATCTGCCTCTTCACCTCCACTCTCTTCCTATTGCAAACTACTTTGGGGACCTGAGGCACAGGCCAAGGTGCAGGTGCTCAACTATTTATCCCTCTTAGCTCAGTGGAGCAAATGTCAGTGGCTGTTTGGAACTATGGAACCAGAGTAGCTTAGGCACTGGGAAGGTTTCCTCTTAGACCGTCAGGTACTCCAAGGAGACGTAGCCAAGCTCTAGGGCTCAGAGACTCCATAAAGCCTCTCTTTAATATCAAGCTGCACAGAAAAAGGTGTTCTGGAGAGATGAGCTGTGGGGACGTGCCGCGTCTCCAGCTGGGATCCAGATTTGTAGACACCCTCCACTGTGGATGGCTGGGCTCCTTGGAGGGCTTTGAGCCAGGGTGAGGAGAGCAGCCTGAAGACACACACAGTCATGTCCGTGTGCTGGGCTCTTCAGGAGTTGGGCTCCTTGAGATTCCTCCTCCTAGCTGTTCCAGAAGTATTCCCGAAGTGGCTAAGATCAAACCTACCTCAGCCAGGTGTGGAGCCATTGACACCCACCCTCTCCTCCCCCAGACAGGGCTCCAGGTGAAGTTACTTTAGGGCATTTTACCAAGTTTGACAAATTTCCCAATTCTGTTTTGAATATATTCTCCCTATGAATACATTCATTGCTGAGTATACTAAATTTACCAATTCTCATTACAAGTAGATTCACTAAATATAGCCTGGATGAATGTGACTGCAAATGTAATATTCTTATGAATGTATTCATGAATGTATTATTCTTGTGAATGCCTCTAAAATGTCAGCATCACAGACGGGAGTTTTCTCATCTCCTCTGATTTCCTTTCAACTCTGATCATTTTCTGTTTTGCCAACATTTTTAGCATTTTTAAAGGATATTCCTTTGTAGATTTTTCAAACAGCCCACCAACCTTAGAAAACTCTCCCTAGTCATATAAGTGGCTGAGGATTTTTGCAAGTAAGTTTTCTTTTCTTTTTCTGTTTTTTCAAGACAGGGTTTCTCTGTGTAGCCCTGGCTATCCTGGAACTCACTTTGTAGAACAGGCTGGCTTCGAAGATCCGCCTGCCTCTGCCTCCTAAGTGCTGTGATTAAAGGTGTGCGCCACCACCACCTACTTTTATTTGCTTTTTTGAAAATAAACTTTTTATTGAAATATGGCACATACACAGAGGGACCTACAAATTATTGCAGCTGTTTGCACTGGGCAGTTAGGATGTGACCACCATCCTGGCCATATAATCAACCCAAGTTAAGAAATTGAGGGTCTCCAAGCCCTGTACCCCTCATGTCCTTGGTTGCAAGCTTTAGCCTTCACAGCTGAGCCGTTTCTTCAGCCAAGCCCCACGCCCCCTTGAGACATAGCCCGGCAGTCTTCAAACTCACAACAGGGGTGTTAACTCACAACAGGGGGTGTTAACTCACAACAGGGGGTGTTAACTCATAGACTGTGCACACGTGTGATCTAAAGACTGTGGAGAACTCTCACTTTTCATTTTTATAACATCTTCACAGTTACATTTTTTTAACTGACTGAGAACGTCTGCAAACATCTGGCCTGGGTTTTCCTTTTCATGTGGTATGTGTTTATGTTTGTTTTGTGTGTGGCATGTGCACACGTGTGTACAATGCACACCCATGTGCATGCATGCAGAGGCCACAGGAAGATATCAGATGTCCATCTCTCTCTATCTTGGCTTTTGAGACAGTCTCTCTGTACCTGAAGCTTGTTTGGGCTAGACCGGCTGGCTAGCTCCCGGGATTCTCCTGTCTGTGGCTCCCCTCTTTCTCCAGCACTGGGGTGACAGCCCTATGCATGGTTATGCCTGGCTTTTTCTGTAGGTGCTGAGGACTTGAACTCAGATCCTGTTGTTTTCATAACAAGTGCTCCCACCCACGGGGGCACCACCTTCCACGCCCCAAGGGCTTTGTTTTATTTTCATAACAAACATCTACAGGAATGTCCTGTCTGCATAGCCAGAGACCACCAGATGCAAACCAGTCTTCCTATCACTATCTCAGAACCCAAGGGGTTGTCTGAGGATGGTACCTGAGGTTGACCTCTGACCTCCACATCTGATGTGCACATACCTGCACATGAATACATCCACATGCACATCCACATGAATATACATGCACATATACAATACAGAACTTTAAAATGTGTCAGAGCTTCAGGAAGCACAAAACCTGTTAGGTCTAGGAAAATAAAACTGCCATATTCAAGTATGTATTCATTAAAATGTATAGTAATCTTTATGTGCATGATAAGACAGTCCAGATCATTCTAGGGGTAGTCTACTCTGAGGGCAGGGTAGCTTTGTCCTGGGTGGTTGAGAAATGGAGGGTCCTGAAGAGAACAGGTGGTCTCTACCCAGGAGTTGAAAAGGTAGCCTCTTCCATAACCCCCCTGAGAAGCCAGGGGCCCTGCTGCCTTGGCTCAGTCCGTGCAGCATCCTGAGCTGTTTCTCTTCCCCAGCCATCCTGCTGGCCTCCCGGGAGCTGACCCTCAGCAAGCGCCTGAAGCAGATGCTGGAGGTGGTCCTCGCCATTGGTAACTTCATGAACAAGGGGCAGCGTGGGGGCGCCTACGGGTTCCGGGTAGCCAGTCTCAACAAGATTGCTGACACGAAGTCCAGCATTGACAGGTGGGGACTCGCGGGCTTCCTCAGCCCTGCTCACTCCGTCCCTATGTCTCCCTACCCCTCTCTAGCCCTCTTCTAGCTCTGCATTCTAACTGCCTTGTCCATTTTAAAAACATTTTGAAGAATTGTTTTAGTGTGGGGTGGGGTATGTGTGCGTGCGTGCGTGCGTGCATGCGTGCGTGCGTGCGTGCATGCGTGCGTGCGTGCGTGCGTGCGTGCGTGCGTGTGTGTGTGTGTGTGTGTGTGTGTGTGTGTAGTTGCCTGTGGGGCCAGCAGAGGGCACTGGATCCCCTGGCACTGGAGTTACAGGCATTTGTGGATGCTCAGGACCAAACTGAGGTCTCTGGAAGAGCAGAAAGCCCTGTTAGGTGCTGAGCCATCTCTCCAACCCACTCTTCGTTTCTTCCTCTCATCATACTCCGTCTGGTTTCATCAGCCCCCTCTCCTGATGCAGCTGTCACCCACAGGAACATCTCTCTGCTTCATTACCTGATCATGATCCTGGAGAAGCACTTCCCCGACATCCTGAACATGCCCTCAGAGCTGCGGCACCTATCAGAAGCCGCCAAAGTCAAGTAAGTGGTCTCTCCATGCTTTCTTCGCCTGTGGTCACACTAGCTGGCTTCCCTCGCTTGAGGGGACACTGGGAGTGGGCAGGGTCTCGGGGTATGCTTTTAGAAGACCCAGACAGAGACAGCTGGCTGGTGCAAATCATCTTATTTCAGAGGTGATTCTGGAAAACACCAGAAGAAGGAAGAAGAAAGCCATGTGTAGAAAGAATGACTAACAGAGGCATTACTGAGCCAGTTGCACTCGGGGCACATGTGGAAACAGTATGGAACAGAACACCCTCTATGCTTATCCCACGGTGGGGGAGGAGTGGGTTACTCATGCAGCACACTGGCTAAGTGTCCTGGGGGTAACACAACTCTAACAGGCAGGGGGGGCTGACCCAGAATAAAGAACACTCAGCTGGGGACTGGAGAGATGGCTCAGTGGTTAACAGCACTGTCAGCCATTCCAGAGGACCCCAGTTCAAATCCCAGCACCCACATGGTAGCTCACAACCATCTATAATTCCAGAGAATCCAATACCCTCTTCTGGCCTCCTCAGGTACCAGGCACACATGGGATACACACTTATATGTAGGTGAAACACTCACATATATAAAATAAATTTAAAAATAAGCACATATATTTTAAGCCCGGTTGGTTGGAAGAATGGGTACTTTAAACTGTAATGGGCAGGGCATCCACAGCATCTGCTAAGGCTGCCAGACTTAATCTGGGGATCTGGGGAAGCCAGACATGTTAAAGCTAACAGGTATCCAATGCCACTGTGTGGGAGATATTCTGTGCTATAACAAAACACCTGAGACTTGCTAACTATAAAAATTTGAAGTGTATTTGGCACATGACTCAGGAGGATTGATAGTCCACAAGCATGGTGCCACAATCTGCTTAACATCTGGCACACTACAGTGTGGCAGCGGCATCCCAGGCTAGGACAGATAACAAGGAGCCACTGTGCCATCTCAGAGCCTCCACCCTCAGGACTGACCTCATCATATCAAAAGCATCTCTCCAGAGCTCCACCTCTAAGTACCATCAGCACAGGGCTGTGGGGAGACACCTGTTAGATGATGGTGAACACTGCCCAGTGGTAATGAAAAACAATCCCAAGCCAGGCGCTAGTGTGAGAAAGCTTCTGACAGCGCTTGGGAGAGAGTGCAGCAAGGAGCATGAGGGTCTGAGGGCCATACCTAGAACCCAAGCA